CAAATAATCTCTCTCTCTCTGTGTGTGTCGTCCTTTAAGGTAATATGGGATAAATCTAATTACCTATCATAATGATACATTTCAAAAAATTATAAACAATACTTTGATTTCTGTATATTTTAGCAACATAATTTGTAATCAATAAAGATGTAGGGTATCGGTTTTAAAACTTAATGTGAATATTCCCAACACTATGACTTGATTAGTAATCAATAATGAGTTAATGAAGTAATTATTCAGCAAAGTCCATAATAAAGGTCATGTCAACAGTAAACAGTAGTTCTTCAGTGTTGAACATCCTTACATGTGTGATCTATATGTTTATTTTTTAGACAGTTACATAATGATGTAACTTAATTCTAAAAATGTTGTTACTGACAAGGTATTGGCCCGCATCCCAATAGTTAAGGTAAACGTGTGATTCACTGATTTTAATTGCAGTGAGTTGTCTTGTAGTGTAAAGAAAAGTCCTGTTGATGCAGCCATTTGTACCCTCACTTACAAAAGGTTGTCATTTCATTACACAGCACAAATCTTGGCCAAGTCATCTTCACTCATGGAAAAGCAACAAGATAAACAAAGAGAGGCTGCAAAATGCAGAAAAATGCCAATATTGACAGAACAGTGGTGCATATTTTTGTCCATGTGAAATGTCCACAAGAAATGTCAAACTTATTTTGTCCTCCAGGGGCGTCCTTCATATTTTCTGCAGGCAATTTTATATTCTTGAGACCAGTGAGAGTCAGGACTACCTTAGCTAATTTGGTAGATGTGAATGTAAATGTGAATAAAAAACTTTATATTCCTTTTCTGTCAGTGTTTGGTTTCAGGAAGTGTGTGCCTGAAACAAGCAGTTTCAAAATGCCCCTGTTTGTGACATCATAGTTAGGGACATTAGCATAGAACGGCCCCCGAGCAGGAGACTAATGTAAGTATTTATTTCTCCAATGAACTGACTCAGTTCAAAGAGGATAGTGGGAGTTTTTTATATGTTGGTCCATCAATTAGCTCCAAATCAGTGATTAGTTTTAATAATTTATTTATATTTTTTGCATTCTGTGAAAGTCAGTTTCTCTCATCCAAATACATTTTTTTATTTAAAGAAATAAATAAAAAAATAAATAAAACATTTATTTATGTTGTAAATAATCTACATGGTTCCTATTCTGAGGTATCAGCTGACCATAGATTTGACTTTGTAGGTAGATACACCCACCTGTTTCACTCCTTTATTGCTTCATTCATTCCATATCCAAAGCTCTGATCTTTCCAGATCCACAACCAGTTAATTCCATAATATGGTGTAAATGTATCCTTTAAAGCTGCTTTCCGGAGTTTTCCTCTTTCAGAAATGATGTATGATTTGTCAGAAATCCATAAAAGTGATTATCTTATTATGTACTGTGATAGCAATACGTCATTATTTATTTTATTTTTTTTTGCGAAGCACGCCCCCTGCCCGGCAGAGCTCCGTGCAATAGGAAACTGAGCGCCGACCAGAACTAACCAATAGTGTTAGACTACCGCTTACATGCTTCAAATTTAACGAATACCTCGGCTGATGCAGAGTTGATGAACTTTTCACGGACAAGTAAGTCTCTAAAATATAAATATATGAAAACACAACATGATATGAGAATAATACTTGTAAAACAACATGTTTTAGCTCTGTTTTGTTGGCTACAGAAACACATTAATAAACAGAAACGTGAGGTCACCATCTGGTCCTCCCTCATCTCAAGTCCTTCACCTCCCCTCTCCTGGACCCTCTGCAGTTCGCATACAGAGCTAATAGGTCTGTAGACGACTCCATCAACCTGGCCCTCCACTTCATCCTGCAGCACCTGGACTCCCCGGGAACCTACGCTAGGATCCTGTTTGTGGACTTCAGCTCTGCGTTCAACACCATCCTCCCTGCTCTGCTCCAGGACAAGCTCTCCATGCTCAACGTACCCAACTCCACCTGCAGGTGGATCACTGACTTACTGACAGACCGTAGGCAGTGCGTGTGGCTGGGGAAGAATGTTTCCACCAATAAGACAATAAGCACAGGATCTCCACAGGGCTGTGTACTTTCTCCTCTGCTCTTCTCCCTGTACACAAACTGCTGCACCTCGAGCCATGGCTCCGTTAAACTGATCAAGTTTGCGGACGACACCTCCCTCATCGGGCTCATGACTGACGGTGATGAGTCCGCCTACAGGAGGGAGGTGGAATGGCTGGTGTACTGGTGCAGCAGCAACAACCTGGAGCTCAATGCTCAGAAGACAGTGGAGATGATTGTGGACTTCAGGAAAATCACAGCCCCATCTATCCCCCTCGTCCTGACTGACTCCCCCGTCACCACTGTGGACTCCTTCCGCTTCCTCGAAACCACCATCACACATGACCTTAGGTGGGAGCCATCCATCAGCCCCCTGCTCAAAAAGGCCCAGCAGAGGATGTACTTTCTGCGGTAGTTGAAAAAGGCCAAGCTGCCGGCACAGATGATGGTGCAGTTTTACACGGCCATCATTGAGTCCATCCTCACCTCCTCCATCGCTGTGTGGTACGCTGGAGCCACGGTGAGGGACAAACATAGACTGCAGTGCATTGTGCACTCTGCTGAGAAGGTGATTGGCTGCAGCCTTCCATCTCTCCAGGACCTGTACATCTCCAGGACTCGGGGGCGTGCAGGTCGGATAGCAGCTGACCCTTCGCACCCGGGTCACAGACTTTTTGAGCCGCTTCCCTCAGGCAGGAGGTTACGGTCCATCCGGACCAGAACCTCCTGCCATAAGAACAGTTTCTTTCCATCTGCCGTTAGACTTGTGAACAGATTATAAACACACAACCATGCTCGTCTTCTGTACTCGACACAACATCATGTTATCGGCCATGTTACCATTACCTGCCATTTTTTATCGCTGAAAGTTTTATTCTAGTTTTTTTTATTATATTTTATTCTATTTTTAATCTTATTATTCATGTTATATGTAGCACATTAGTACGGAAGCAAGTTCCTAGTTTGTGAGTTGTTTGTTCACTGACAATGGCAATAAACCTATTCTGATTCTGATTCTGATTAAAAAAACAAAGGAACTGCAGTTTTGTGTGATACGCTTTTCAGCCACTAGATGGTGGCATTGGATAAGAGAAATACTCCAGAAAGAAGCTTTAAAGAGCAAGTAATGTCTAAATTAACTTTTTTTTTTTTTTGCTGATGAACTGTATAAATGAGTGTCTAATAGTGTTTTAAATGTGTGTATTCATTATTTTAGAATTTTGGTGCATTTTCTTTAAAAATTAAAAATTCTGCTTAATACCACAGTATTGCGCCACCTTCAGCTTAAAACATAGAATTTGACTCATTTTGAATAAATTTTAGCCAATGGCTAAAGAGTAAGATACTACGTAAACCAGTAGAGTACTACGTAGCAGCTCTGTGTCAAAGTTATAAAAGCAACGAGCATCTCGGCCACGCCTTGTGGCGAGTTGGGAGTTGGATTTGCAAGCGAGTGTAGCAGAGTTAGCTGTAGTTCAGCATTAGCATATAGCATTAGCATATCCTTGTCTTTAGCGTAGCTTTTAGTGTTATACATACTTATTTAGTGTTAGTTTGGCTGTTGGATATTGTAGTTTAGTTAGTGTTTGGCTGTTAGTGTTATTAAGAAAGTAGTTCGGGTTTAGTGCTCCATATCGTGTTAGTATGGTGAGAAGGTGTAGTGTAGTATGGTTGCGGTGGCTCTGTGGGGTTGCACTCCTTTCCGCTGGACTTAGAAATTAGGCGCCAGTGATGGCGCGCAATCTGTGTCTGGAAAACATTCAGCTCCCGCCTAGTGCTGTAGTTTGCAACCAGCATTTTACCCGCAATTCTGCACGTCTCCGTTTGAAGAGGGAGGCTGTGCCCACCGTGGCTCTTCCACGATTTAGATGCAGCCCACCGACTCTGCTCCCCCACCACGGCGGGCTCCAGTCTGAGGTGAGTTAGCTAAATAAAACTTTTAACATCTTCTAAAGACAATTTCCTAACTAAATGCAAAGTTTGAGAGACGTGGTTCACTCCATTTAGCTAATATCAGCCTGCACTGCCTTCGGGCTAATTTGTCACGTTCACAAAATGTGGAACGGGATGTAAGGTTAGAATCAGCGGCGAATCAGAACATATCTCGAAGCCCTAGCCAACAGAATGGTCCACATGACTGTCAGGCTCAGAGGATTCGGGTTGCTTTTGTGTCAGTCGGTAATTCTGCAACAGTGGCTCTAACTAACAGCGCTAGTTGACAGACAGCATTACAGCCTGAAATCCAGCTTGTGACCCGGTTCTGTGAGGAATTCTGTTCAGGAGGTCGCATTTCAGGCTCTCCACATCATATGTGACTGACTTTTACGTTATAACAACGATCACACACTAGGAATGTTATAAAGCGCCTATATAGGACAGTTTCTTTTGTATATTATCTGACTTTATAAACTCCAACAACAATGTGCTTCTATTTCTTTTTTCAGGCTAAATCTACCCAAGACACTGGTTGCCAGACTGATTTAGCTGCAAGAATGCACTTGTCCAGGCTGACGTGACACCTTACCCGTAGCAAAGGTGAATCATTTTTAATAATCTTCTATGTAAACATTTTATTATCACCTTCTAGTTAAAATTTGTTTTACAGATTATTGTTTCACGTGATTTTATGCTCTTTTAAACATTTATAAATGTGCTGCTACTTTGTTTTTTACATAGTCAGCCAGAATAGAGCTCACAGCCGCAGTGTGTCTGGTGACCCACGGGGACCATGATGGAAATTCATCTTCCAGAAAGTCCCAGAGCAGCGTCCACACCCCTGAAAAGACCAAGATGTGAGGTGTCTGCTGTTGATTCCAGCTTCCACCTCAGTGACGGTGCAAGCTCAGTGAACTGAAGTTAAAAAAATTTAAACATTTCAGATTTTTTTAAGATATTAACAATTAAATAAGTATGTGATTACATCATGAAGGAGGCTATTGATTCTGGCCCTGTGACACTTGGTGGTGACGTGTGAGCTGATTCACCTGGTAAATAACTTTTACGTTAAATATTTTGTTTTTGCTATCAAAAGTAAATTAACTAATAACCTGCATTATTGCAGGACACTCAGCAAAATATGGACTCTACACCATGAGGCAGGCACACATTAATACTCTATAAGAGCACATAAGGTGAGCAACACCACAGATTATTGTTGTACACTGTCCTGGATTTGTTTTCTTTCTGCATCTCATCATTAGCCTGGCTGATCACCTGATAACTCCTGTCATCTGGTTGTGACAGCATGAGGATGTCCTCACACACCTGTAACCTATCAGCTCATCTGGCAGAATAGAGAGAGGAGACAACACCACATCTCCTGTTCCTGGAAAGCCTTCAGCCATCCTTCGATGACTGAGAACCTCCATCAGCTCTGTCTCCTGTCTGCCTACAATTATTATAATAAATATTGTGTTTGACAAGTTTTTTGTGCTGCCAAATATCTAATTTAGATTGCAGTTTTGATATTTTAATGGATATTTATAAATTACATTAATTGAATTACCACATTGTTGCATGTTTAACTAGCTCTATTGTGATGAATTAAACTAGCACCTCACTGTTAAAAGCTCGTTTTAATTTCAAGCATGTTTAAGTATTTATGGACATGAACAAAAACAGGAAATGTATAAATTGAGATTTATTTAATTAATATAACAAATAAGAGGAAAGAGTCATTGAAAGGCACATTCTTCTGGAAGCTCCTGATCCTGACGACACCAGCAGGAGACCAGCTGCAGACACCAGAGGACCTACAACCAAGAAAGCAGCTGTTATCAGTAAATAAATAATGAAATCAGGGCAGTTTTAGTGGGCTGAACACATTACAGAATAATTTTCTCATGTGGTAGTTTCATAACTTTCTATTCAGCAGACTGTAGCTTGAGCCCAGAGCTCCTGGAGAGCTGCTATTGAGCACGTTTCAGTGGTTTTCCTGCTTTAACGGGTTAGATTAGCTGTTAAGCAGCTCAGCTATTTGTTGCTGATTAAAACCAGGTGTGTTGAAGCAGATAAACCTCTAAAATATGCTGAATACCAACTCTCTAGGGCCGTGGAGCTAATCTGATGCTATGGCTAACCGCTACTTACCATTCAGAGCTGGTTCTGTTGGGTTGGTTCCGCTAGTTTCAGGCAACTAACAAGCTCAAAACAATAAGGCTCAGGTCCGCTTGTCTCCTCCAAATGGACTTGGTCCCTTTCTTCTCGAGTGTCTGGGTAAGGAGGGGGAAAAACGTCCTCCACTTCTAATAACTGCTCAGAGTGAAGGGAGCTAGCATCGTCTAGTTAGCCTTCGTCTTCGTCACTGCCGCGGCTCCGCCCTCTCGGTCCTCCAGGCAACGCCTACTAATGTTGCAGTTTTTAAAATTGATACGTGGGTCGAGTAAGACTCTGAGGGGGACATTACCACGTCTTTAAGTCTATCTGCCTTCCTGTGTGGTTATACAGTCCTTTTGTTACATTGATCCTTTTCCAAATCTGCTTTTAGTGTTTGGAGTGTTTCTGGAACAAACTGTATGCTTCATTCAACCCATTGTCAGTTATTCCGTGTTTGGGACATTCCTCCTACAGTGACTTTCATTCTGATGGCTCTAGACTCTAGAGCTCTAGACTCTAGAGTCTAGAGAATCCATTGTGTCTAACAGCCTCACTTTTGTCCATGTGCCCCAGGGCAGCTGTGGCTATGATGTAGATTATCACCATCAGTGTGTGAATGGATTAATGACTGACTGTAGAGTAAAGCACTTTGGAGTCCTCTGACTCAGAAAAGAGCTGTACCATGCAGGTCATTTTTCATATATTAGATCTGCAGTGTTTGGTACACAATCTTCAACAATAAATTGCAATTGAGAGAGCAGCACTAAGCCCAACTCATCTGACATGTTCCCATTTATTGATGTAAGTGATGAATCTTCTTTCTACAACAGAATTAGTTATGAATCTCCTCAGGGTTTGGTACTCCTCATTTCATATATGCTTCTATGAGTCAAATAGTTTGACAGCATGGCTTAAATGTACATTGTTATGCTGATGAAACTCAGTTCTATTTATCCATGAGGCCTGATTAATCTTTTAAAATCAGAATACAATACAGCTAATCAGAATTTATGTCTTAAAGACAAAAGAAACCTACATGACTTTTAATTTTCTGTTGAAATTGAGGCCTAGTCCACACGTAGCCGGGGTTTTTTAAAAACGAATGTCCGCCCCTCCAAAGACTTGCATCCACACCACCGCGTTTTAAAAACAAACTCTGTCCACACGTACCCAGATAAATACTTTGTTAAGGACATGCCAGACCTGTAGGTGGCAGTACTTCCCCCGTTAACCTCGTACTTCATCTGTGGTCTTCCGCAAGGAGCAGTAATTCTGCTTGCAAAAACAAACAAGCAAAAAGCGCTTGGACAATTGATGGATCGGGTAGTGACAGGGCGCAGCTCTGAGGGCTTCCATGATGCCAGCTAGTGTAAACACAGGTCGCACACGTGATGTCAGCATTTTTTTTGTCGCGGAAAGTGACGTTGCGGACCTTAAAACTCCGGTTATGTCCGTCCACACGCAGACACCCAAAACGGAGAAAACGCAGATCTTCACTTTGGCCGGAGTTTTTAAAACGATTCGTTTTCATGTGAAAAAACTCCGTTTTCGTGTGGATGACAGGCCAAAACGTAGAAAAATATCTACGTTTTGCCAGATCCCCGGCTACGTGTGGACAGGGCCTCAGACAAGACAGAGGTTGGGATTTGTATAGACCTGTGCCCCTTAGGAACAGTGCCATGCAGTTTCTTTGAATGGAGTTGACTTCTGGTACTCATGTATGGAACAATGGCACTATTATAGACCAGTATCTGTCCTCTAACTTTCATAAAAAGCAAGCTGATGTAATCATTTTCTTTCATCTGAATGGTTTTGCTAAAATTAGGAACAACTGATCAAAAATGATGGAAGTGATGTCTATGCATTTTTCAGTTCTAGGCTTGGTTAATGCTGTTTGTTATTGTCAGGATGTTCACAATATTCTTTAAATAATGCTGCTAGAGTTCTTATGAGAGTTAGGAGGAGAGGTCACATCTCTCAAGTTTTAGCATCACTTCATTGTCTCCATGTGAGACAGAAATGAATAAAACACATTATTTCTATCTTACAAAACATTATTTCTATCTTACAAAACTCCCAAAGACCAAACTCCATTTCATTATTTCTGAAATTAGAATTGGAGGCAAAGCTTTCAGTTCCCAGACACATGTCTTGCCGAACCAAATTCTAGTTTCAATCCACGAGGCAGCCATGCTGTCTACTTTTGTTACTCAGCTTCAGACTTTCTTTTTGATAAATCTTCTAGGTAGAGTTAACTTGAGTAGTCCTGTAAACACGTTAGTCTGGCTGAAGGCGAACTGGCTCTAATCGAGCGTAAGTGGAAGCAGTCTTCTGATAATATCGTCAAACAGTACAGTGCATACTAAATAATCTGTGCTGCAGCGTTGTTGTTCTTCAGCCATGGTGCTTATCCTGCTTTTACCATGTCTGCTTCACTCCCACTAGCGTTTGTTTACTATCTGTGTTGTTAGGAGCTAACTGGAAGAATGCAGACACAAAAGTGCACATGTCTGCAGCAGAGTTGAACTGTTCTGCCCCTAATGCTATTGTGATATGGACGGGTTTGAGCTACTCTTATTTAGAAATTTGTTTTACTTTGAAAATCCATTCTAGGAGTGACAGGAAGTCAGCCATTTTGTTTTAGTTCTCTGTACGCCACATGGGATGAAGTTCATCCAGTAATATCTGCCTCTTTGTTTGTTCCATCGACATCACCGTCTGTAAATTTTCATTCGTTTTAAATTCCTGGATTATAATTTAAGTATATTTTGTGGAAATATTTGCTGTAGATGAATATTTTTGACAGATCGTGTGCTGATACTTAATGGCGCACATTGAAATGCATTTATGTAATGCTAATGTTGCTAAACTAATTGTAGCTATTTCATTTGCATTCTAGTTTCACTCCATGTAAAAATGCATAATTAAAAGGAGTTTGGACACTACATCCTGACTCGCGCCTCATTTCAAGTGAAGTTAGGCTACTGCTAAATTGTGTAGCATACACACAAGGAGTGCAGGATAGGAACACACTTCATTAGAGTTTGGTTTTCGAACGTACATGTGAACCAGGATGAAGGCTCCCAGTTTATTGCTGTAGTTTGACCTAGATCGACCTACGCGCATGTAAACACACTGAGTTATGTTGCTATATTCAGCTGCACACACAGATTATATTTTCTCTGCTGTATTTACATTCAACCCTCCATGTTTTTATTAACTTTTGTTGCTGTTAGCTAATAGTGACCTGCTATGTTTTGGACTTGAAGCTTTTTGTAAAGAAAACTAAATCATTTTTCCGTGGAAACAATTTTAATATATTAAACTTGGGCTGCAAACTCCCCTCCACACAGAACATGTACACCTCCAGGATATTGAGTCGGACCACAGCAGACCCGTTGTCGGTACAAGATCTGCTCGGGTGCAAGATTGGCTCGGGGTCCTTCGACTGCCGATGACGTCAAAGTACGGCAAACCCACTCGGACAAAATACACTACACATCTATACTGTTGGAAAGAATTTAGCAGTTTCGTTATTAAAATAATGTTTCTTAAGACGTAAGTTTGTGTTTATAATGGTATTTGTAAAATAAAACACTATATTGTATTCATAATGTTGAACTCCTCTTTGAGCACATCCCTTAAAGAATTGTACTAGCAACACCTGTGAAATTGTATTTGCAGGAAAGAAGTGTGTCCCGTTTATTGAAGTATTTTGTGTTTAGAGTTTTTGACGTCTTGTCCATGCGTAGTTCAGTTACGCTCATAGCTGCTAGCCAAAACTCTGGAGTTAAAAGTTTTCTGGCTTTACTAAAATACCTGTCTGTACTTATTTCACTGATGGTAGTTTTACTTTCTATTAGACTGCAATTGTAATCATTTGGCACGTTTCTAATTCATAATTTGTATAATGTAATCGGTGATATTAGCATTAGCATTCCTATGGGTTTTTCCACGTATATCAGCATTGCGCTAACCACTCACTGCCAAATTGCAGCCTTTGCGATTAGAAAATTTCCTTTTGTCACGTCGCAATTTAATTGCAATGCAGTTAATCGTTCAGCCCTAATATACATGCAGCTCTATGCTAAAAGTGTATTTTCAAAGAAGTAATGATGGATTTCTTTGTAAAAGTTGTCCATCTTTCCAACAGAAAGATTTGCCTGGACTAACGTAACGTGATAACAACGTAACGTGATTACGTAATTCCGTAAGGTTCATGTTCAGCCAATCAACTACTTTGACGTCATCGGCGGTCGACGGACCCCGAGCAGATCTTGTACCGACACCGTCTCACCCTGGACACGGTCTCTTTGACTCGCTCCCATCTGGCAGAAGGCTCCAATCCATTCGGACCA